TGTTACTCATAAGGTTTATCAATGCATCATAAGCAATCCTTGCATTCATCTCAAAATGTACACAAGTTACAGATATTTAAACACATCATCAACAAATATTATTTAGGAAATCTATCAATAACTAGTAAAATCTGGTCTAATTTGGCTTGATGATAATACATAAAATTAAATGCTATCAAATTACAGATTTCTTGTTGTCTTTCATTATTATATATATCCCATTCCAGATGCATTTCCAAGTTTTTAATCAAAATTAAGAATTTCCCATTCCTGTGTTAGACTTCCAAGGCCATGAGACTCCCGATCAGTATCACATTACCACCCTATAGGCAAACTCACTGTTACATCTCACCAAGTCATCAAATAGGCTCAGATTTCCAATACCTTGTACATTCTCTCAGACTACACATTTATCACTATCATCCACAACTTTATGTTGTCAACCACTTGATTGTTCTAAATAAGGATCAAGGATTCTCACAGGAAGATCATAAGTACAGTGGTAACTGTCTTTTTAGTTGATGATATTGTTTCCTTGTCACAAAAGAACAGAAAAGCTTTGAGATATTATTTTCTCATGTATTAACTGTAACTATTCCTCATTTTTTGAACATCTGCATTAAAATCAAGGCTGTCTAAGAGCCATATGAACTGCCCAGTCTTCTAATCAATTTCCTAACTGTCCAGTGTTGATTTTTTTTTTGTCACATTTCGATTACCAGTAAATATTCACCATAATACACCTACACATCCCTATAGAAAGCTGTGGTTTATCACAAAAAAATCAAACCATTAAACTGCTGCTTTATACATGGCCAATATCCCAGCTGTCTATATATCTGCTCTCAGACATTGACATGCACATACTAGCATTTACACATAATAACAGGGTACTATCCTCAGTGTAACACAATAGTCATACATCAGTCAACTTATTAATGGTTCCACCAGTATACATGCACTTCATTCAAACGCACTGACTGCAGCTTTTAGAATTTCGTGTCTCAACCACAGCATTAATAGTACGTTATATCCCCTGATTTAATCAGACTACTGAACTGAACATTAATTATGTTATACAATACGGTTCACTTACTTGCTGCTAAGAATCTCAACATTCAACATTTCAAAACATACAAAATGAACAATAGACATGTGTATATCTATAACCACTTTTATACAGCAAAATACCAATATAGATTGCAATCTAACACACTGGCCTATAGCTAGCATTTAGCATGAATTGAAGATATTTAAATTTTCATAACCATAAGTTTAATTTTAAACAGTAGAATTTATATTTAAAGAAACACATGAGTAATAATTATCTTATATTTTGTCTATGATTATATCTGTTTTGTCTATGAGATCTGTTCCAAAAACCAAGACTTAACAAAAACATGAGATTTGACGACAGGAAATTGTGGACATCCCCCGCCCTCCCCCTCATATTCAACCAAAGGTTTGCTGGACATTTTTTTTACCTTTAAATCTAATGCATATATATGTAATAGGAAAAATTCTGAAAAATTATTCCACACAAAAATACCCCACTTTACATTATACAAGTAAAAAGTATACAACATAATTACTTATTACAAACTAGAAAGTATTTCAAGCTCTAAATGATCTGAACTTCATCTTCCAGTGATAATAAAGCTTTCCTTCCCTCTGAGAAGTTTCATCTGTTGATGGGTGGAGCTAATTTGCCCACTTGAGGACAGCACTTGTTTCCTGTTTCTTTCCAATGCCATGATATGATATCCTCTCTTTCTCCGACAAAAATCATCAGATGACAGGTGGGACAAAAAAAACATATCCTTAAAGCTCTAATGGAAGAGATAACAAAACCTGCAGTTACAAATTCAATAGAACCCCCCCCCCAAAAAAAAATTCATTCACCATTATGACTGTTTCCTTCATTCTTATTTATCTTTTTTTTCAAATTCTTCAGTCTGAGCACATTCTATGAGCTCAATGAATCTCCTCATCATAATCTAACATTGTTTATACTGCCATTATGGTTCTTTGAACTTAAAACAAATAAACATAGCCAAAGATAACATAACAAAGGCTAGAGCTCCCATCAAGCTCCCCGAAAGAAACCTATTGTTGCCATATAATATAAACATAAGTTAATGGATAGTGTGTGTATCAGTAGCTTAAAAAGTCTTCAACACTGACATACTAAGTGGTATTTTTTATTTGATCAATAACTGTCTGTCTCCATAACTAAGGAGGGTCTATCAACTCCCAAAACTTATGACAACCTTATGCTATGCACATTACAATACTTATCAAAAGTACTATAGCATTTCTTAAATTTTATGATTGAGAATCACTGATTGTTCAGCAAGATATTTCATTTGAAAATATTCTTTTTTATTAAGTACCTTCTTTAAAAAAAAAATTACAGTAATTGTGGCATATTCAACAGCATTTTATCCCCCTAGCAGATGTTTTCTACCTCAATCATGAAAGCAATAGAGATAAAATGTTTCAAGGATTCTCATCACAATTCAGCAAAGTGGTGCATCATTGAATTTTTTAATAAGTTAATTAAGTATATAAGTAATAAGTAATTGTGATATCAAGTAGTCGTCACAAGTCAGCAAAGTGGTGCATACACCTTAACAAAAATTGATTTGTTCGTATGTTCAATATATTACTCTACTTATTTGTATATCTCTTAAAAATTATGTATCTTTTTCAAATTAAAATTAGACTGTCCATAATTGAACAGGTTGTGTTATTTAATATGGAGTGCAGGAAACCAAAAAAAAAGTTGTTGGAGTGGATAGATTTGATTGACCATCGATCAGTTGTCTCTATTTTTAGTTTTCAAAACATTTATTATAATAATACATGCTGTCCTTTGTGTATAAAGGAAATTATGGCATATTTACATGAGACAATTTTGTTTTCAAGTATCATGAAAGATATTTTATTATGCTTTGTTAAACTCTAAATGATTTTAAGGTTTAAATATCTGGTGATAAAACTATAAGCTGACAACATATACTTCCTGTTCTAGGTTTAAACATAAGAAAAATGACAGTTTCTGTTGTTTTTTTTATTAATTTTTTTTTTTTAAACATATTTGCATCGATTCTAAACACATTTCTAAATTATTACTAAATACACTCCCTAATATCAAAAAGATATGGTGCAAGATCATCAAGAAAAATACATGTTTTGTATGAATTAAAGACTTAAAAAATCAATTTTTTCTGATCAATATAAGGAAAGAAAAAAATTCTGTGTCAATGAAATATTTTAAAAACCAGATATTTCCTGTAGATCTGACTAATGTCTGTTAAGCTCCTGACCTACCTATGAACTATTCATTCATATTCCACCCCCTCAATTACCTGGGCCTTCCTTCAATGACAATACAACCCCGCCCCAACAGCTCACCCTCTACCATTTTAAATTATATTATAATATTGAGTTCAATTCATCACTTTATTTTGATATTTTTTATCTCCCAGTATGTTAAGTGTTAAATGCTACAAGCTGTTACTAGAGGCATTATAAGTTTACAAAAGATATAAAAACATTCTGTGTTGCATTGATTATTTTAATGACATAAACCCTTCCTTCAACTGTCTGCATGGACAAGGAATTCAAAAAAAAAAAAGGAGATCCAAAAAGCTAGAGTTATTAAAAAGATAACAAAACAATTTTAACCTTTAAATGACAGGTTTCATATCATCATACCAACATAGTGTACAGTTGTTAGTACAATGTACATGAATGTTATTGATACAAATATTTAATGTTTAATTCTTCTTTTTTTTAGAGATATAAAAAGGATTTAAATGAGAGAGTGACTTTTAAGTTTATATTAAATATTATAATAATGAACGTAAAAAAATGTTTTCCATGTTTAAAAAAAAAGGAAAGAAAGAAATCAATTAAGTGAATCAGAGACCTTAGTAATATAAGGTACTTATTAGGTCCCTGAGTGAATATTTGAACAATTTTTGGTCAATATAATTCATACATTATCTACATGATCTAAGTAAGGAGATTGTGGTGCTCACTCAGGAGTTATAATATAAACAAAATAATCATTCAGTCTGCAAAAATCACAAGAAAAACACATATTGGAAAAAAAAGTACAATTAAAATTGATGTTGTATTAATATGGACTATGTGAATTTCTTCATTTAGATTTAATGGAAAGCCACTATGAAGATAGGAAATCTTTATTGACCACAAGTATAACATACACAATTTGACAAAGATGTGGTAACTAACAAAGATTTTGAAAAGTATGATTGCGAAATTTTTACTTTGTTTTGATTACTGTGTGCATGTTCAAAGGATTATAACATTTCAAAAAGAAAAATCAGATCGATCATTTTTTTTTAAATTTATACTTCATTAATAATTATTATTAGCAGCTGATTAAGCAAGTTCCCACACGAAATTGTACACAAAAAATGTGAAAATTACAACATAATTACCCAAAGAAAACCATCCCTTCATTACATAGATCAAACCACCCACCTTGCACATGTATCTATATATATATTTCGAAATGCAGAGCATGCACTTGTACTGTTGGCATAGCTACAATAACACAGCCTAATGTAAATGGAGAAATTTTCAAAATGTTTATGTATAAAAATAAGATATTGCAGTTTTCATGACAATAAACGTTCCACCTTAATTACAATAAGCTAAAATATTAAAAGGCCCAATCCTGGATAAACTTGGTGACGTCAAATATTGTTTAACAAATTATCGTGTATTCATTTTCTATCAGGTTAATAAATTATCGATTGTGCATTTTATCATCCTTTATATAGCTATTTCCCTGTATCAGGAGTTAATCTTATTTAAAACTTATGAATTAGTGTCTGTCAAATTACAACTTACCTGTTTGTTCTGTTACGGTGTAAACACTACACGGATGAAATGTTACGTTTTCAACAAAGCCGCCATATTTGATCCGGTTTTGGGGCCAAAGAAGGGGTAGGAAAATAGAATGTCAGACTGGTCGGCCCAACGACTACTCGGCCCAACGATATCTCGGCCCATTGACACCTCGGCCCCAACGGCTCGGCCCAAATTTGAAGACACCTCGGCACAAGTAAAAGACAGCTCGGCCCAAGTAAAAGACAGCTCGGCCCAAACAAATTTCAATTAAATATTTCAATAATATATTTTTATTTATGCTATTATATAGTTATGAATTGAAAAAAAGTTTAATTTGATACATTAACAATCTTCAAAGACGGCAAATATTGACGATAATCAAAGAAAGATAACCCATAAACAATTTCATTAAGTGCTAATCATTAAACAAACAAGAAGTAGCGGTGCATCCTTTCAAGTCTCAAGCGCGTGTCATATGGGGTGGTGACTATGAGGAGTTAATTACGAGGAGGCATAATTGGGAGATGATAATAATCATTGGAAGACTATATATCCTTACAATGATTACCAACCCATATCAGATGTTCCACATCGTCAGAAAAACGGCACACCATGACAGGTAAATTGACATTTTTGTAATTATTTAAAGTATATCTATATAAGACATATTAAAATTATTCTAAATTTATTAATACATACACAAATAGTAAAGATTAATATATTAAATGATTTAATGAATATATTTCGAAGTGTTTTTTTTTAAATAATAAAATAAATGATAGATGTTTAAGGATATCCGATCCTCAGCCAGGAAGGATAACTCCAAATATTAATATTTAATTTGAAATGCATCAAAATAAAGCTTGAAAATGAAATTTTTTCATGCAACAATTTTCATTTTATTCATCTTTATAAGATTCAAGGTCTTTGAAAGTCTTAGAAAAGGTCTTATAAAAGTTGATATTTGTACCATATAAAAAGAGAAAAAATTAATACAGTTTTAGAAAAATAAGATTTTCTTGAATCCAGCCTTAGATACCAATGATTATTAACATTTTATGAAATGAGAAGTGATCTGTGATGTCTTGCAATGATAGCAAAAGCCTTTTACACTATGTGTTAAAGAATACATGACGGAAATAGAAGACAAAAAATACCAAATAAGTATGAAAATCATGACAATTTCCCTGAATGCCTGGATACCTATCGTTTTTTAACCTAAAATATATTTGCTGATCAGTTTGCAATTAGAAAATACATTGCTGATATTCCAATTCGCTTTTTCTGAAAAAATATGGGAGATTTGACAATTTTCACTATATAATATGATTAACTGTAATCTATAACTTTAAAGAAATATTGTGGATAAATTTACTTAAATTTATGGATTCAGAGATACTTTTATGAGTATTTTTGATTACTTAACTGCTAATTTTATATACCTGAGGATCGGACTACCTTAATTATTTTATAGTAGAAGAAGTATATATTACTCACATACTAAGAGGTATATGAACATATTATTAAAACAATTGGAAACAAAATAAACAAATAAGCCAAAAAGAGGGGGGGGGGGGCTCAGAATTGAACCATACAAGTTTGTAAAATTATGAATTATAAAAATGTCAAATGATGAATGAAATAGTAATATATGTTAAGAACATATTTTATTGTATTATTTATACAAAGGGATTGGTCAAAAGTTTGAAACTTAGAAAAGTTTTCCCTGTCAAGGTGTACATATAAATGATGTATACAAATTATTTCAAATTAAGACATTCACTATAATCATGATAAAGATTCAGAGTTCTTACAATGTGTATAGATCTATTATGTTACATGTAAATAATTTCAATAACAACAGTACTTTGGAACAAAAAATATATATGAAAAATAACCAGTATCATGACAGTAAGTTTGAATTGGAAATTAATATAAGCTAAATATTAATACATGTAATTTTTAATGTTTCCTGTTAATGTAATAAAGCTTTCATTTTTAAATTAGCTTGTTAGTTATTAATTCATCTTTTAAATTATAGATTCCCGCTGCATTGTGTGCACCACAGAAGTGAGACCAAGACAAGAGGCTGTTCAGTGCGACAGATGTGAAGCCTGGCAGCACAGAACCTGCGAAACTGGTAAGTATATGTAGTTAAGCATATTTAATTTAAGATTAGTTTAGTTAATAAGTGTAGTGTCCGTCAAAAAATCATAGAGCATTACCTGACAATTTAGCAACTGTATGTGTGAAAATAGCATCTAAATATAATTGCAGAGACTTATTTGTAGCTCCTTTGAGCTAAAGTTGATTTCACTGTTTTTGTCAAAATTGGTTATTCAATTAAATATTGTAAATATATTTACTGGTTGTCAGGACCATATGCATTGATGTATAGATATGTATATAAATATATAAATATATTTAGTATAGCATACAATATTTATCATATATTAGGCAATAAATAAAATTATAGTTTGTTTGGAATTGCCTCCCATCTCATTGAAATGTCCCATCTTGAAAAAATTTTATTGACCAAAAGTTGGAAGATTTTTTTTAATCAATTTTTTCCCATTACAAGTACATTGTATTACATGCACTATACAAAAAAAATGAAATATAGTCTTAGATCTATGTAAAATTAGGGTTTTTTGTTGATAGTACTAGATACTTTTTTAAAAGTCAGAAAAATGTTTCTTAAATAACTTCCCTCCCTCCCTCCTGTTTCGGAAACCCATAAATTTAAGATCGTTAAATTTAATTTCTGTACATATTTTTTGTTCCACAAAGCATGTATTATATATATATTAATGTTGAGAGAATTGTAAAGAGTATATACAGATACAACATATAAAATATATACCACATATAGTCTAATATATAGGTCTCATATTTAAAAGAAGAATATTTTACAACTTTCCTGAAGAAACTAGTCAAGATAAAATTTTCACTGTTTTTGCCTGAAAATCACTATTTTTAAAAGCATCTAGTAGGAAATTTGAAGTCAATATTTTTTCTATAATATAAGGACTTATATATTTTAATAGCATTTTACACATAAATTAAATAAAAAATTTAATTTCAATTACTTGTCAAGATGTTTCTCTACACAAGGGTCTATGGCAGGATAGTGTACTATATCTAATTACTGTAGTAAATGGGATGGGAAAATTGACTTGAGAATGGAAATAAGACTTCATATTTACAAAAATCAGAAAATTGTGTACATTATATACTAGAAGAAATGACCATTATCCATTATTTTTAAAAATGATGGATTTCAGTCACACCCCTGACTGTTAATATTATAGAGATATATGAAATTAATACAAGAAGTCTTGATATCAGATAAACATGTCAGGAATCTAGTAAACTTCTATATATAAGCATAGTAAATTATTTTTTATTTCATTTATCCTTAGGTATTACCAGACAGCAGTACAGGAGGGTCAACAAAGGACTCGAGACCCTTGATTTCACATGCAGCAACTGTTCACAGGTTTGTAAATACTACTTGCATAATAACACACATTTTATGAAATATTTTCTTGAAATAATAAATATTAAAGCATTTGTATTTGTATAACTAGATAACTAAACTTCAACTTAAACTGTGTACACACAATATATGTTTCTATAGTTTTCTCTTGTAATTTCTTACAGCAGGAACCAGTCCCTGGACCAGATGAATGTGCAGAAGTGCAGACATCAGTTTCCTTTGCCCATGTTTTAGAGAGCACTAGAGGTATGTTGATATTTTAGAGGAAATATTTTTTTTTTTAAATATTGAATATAAATACTTTATAAACAAAGATTAAAGACACCTTTTTTTAAAATTGGAAATGATCCCTTATACTGATTTCATAGTTATTGAATATTTTATAAACAAAGGTTACTTAAAAACACAATTTTGTTTTCAGTTAGTACTGGTACGTTGCCATCACTGTTGGATGATCTCTCCACAGTGGAGACCCGAGACGGAAGCAGCACAGACCATTCAACTGAAGAGGTATTCACTTTTTTTATTTGTAATACATAATTGTTTTGAATTAAAAAATAAAACAAAATGAGAAAAATATGAAATAAATCACTATCTAAATATTTAAAAAACATATATAATACAACTTTTCAGAATTTTTTTTATTTTCTGTATATACAAATGTATATATATTGGTTATAATAAACCTTTTTTGGGTTTTTAGGGAGACACGACTGATGATGGGCCTGTTCAGCAGTTCACTCCGCAGCCTCCTGTGAACGAATCGACTGTGTTAGAGAACCCGCCAACAGAAAACAGTCACTTGGATGAAACAGTAATTCAATTTTATATAATTACAATTTTCAAATGTTAAACTGAAAATTAATACATGTAGTAAATAAATTCTAATTAAAAAAGTAAAATTATTGTCATCTCAAATGTTCTATGTTTTATGAATTTACTCATTTTCCAGGCATTACCAGTAACGTACCAGGTGGTGGAGGGGGCCACGATAAGGATGAAACCCAAACTGGTGGACAACAGAGGCTTCTCGTACACAGTAAAGCGAAAGAATGAGGAGAAGACAGACTGGCGTTGCACTAAACGATCCAAGGTATAAATTTATGCATATTTTATGTTTAAGTATTTATTGATAAAGTTATCTTATCTTAATAACTTGTGCATTTAGGTTTAAGTATTTAAAGTTTTCTTATTTTAATAACTTATTTTATTTCAATTCCTATTTTTATTTATTACTAGTTGTATTTGCATGTATTTATATTGTGCATTATTTTTTTTAGAATCTCCAGTGCCCTGCAACTGTCAGACAACATGGAGATGCCTTCGTTGAGGGACTGCAACCCCATATCCATGGGCCAACTGTAGGGACAGCAGCCGTTGCAACTGTGGTTTCCCAGATAAAGAAGGCAGCAAAAGACAACCTCTTTGCACCAGCATCTCAACTAGTCAACAGGGCTGTTCTTGATGTAAATGAAGATCAACCATTACCCCTTCCCCAGCTGCAGTCCCTCAACAGAATGGCCAATCGAGTGAGAGAGGTAAATACATGATAAAAAGTTATGGATAAAAGAAACTGAATATATAAACATAATTTTAAATTGATAAAAGTAAAAGAATTAAAATCAAAATAAATCAAAAACAAAATTTATTATTATTTAATATGTATTTTTATTAAAATGAATTATGTTTCTTTTAGAGTTCCCGTCCAGCAGATCCCACCAGTTTGGACTTCGAACCGATCGAGGAATTCATCAACAAGGTCCATGATGGGTTTCTGAGGGGAGACGTCTGGGTTGGACAGCGGCGGCACCTGCTGTTTGCAACCGATGCACAGCTCCACCTCCTAGGTATTCAAACACTTTGTAACATTAAACTTAAATATTTTTATATTTATATATATTTAAATATTTTAGTGGTACGTTTTTTGTTAATTGTTTCTAAAAACAGTTTTTACTATAAAATATTTGATTTTTTATTTTGTCTAATTCCGATTATTCTGCTTATAGGACGTGCCAAATCCTGGTACATAGATGCCACCTTCAAGGTAGTCAAGGAGCCCTTTTCCCAGCTTCTGTCAATTCACAGTTTTGTGAAATCCAGCGAGGGGAACTACAAACAGGTATCTATCTCTCTCTTTTTTTTTTTTTTTTTTACAGATGTCATTGAATTAATGTATTAAATTTTAATACAGTCAACATCCTAAAATGCAAGGTGGAATATAATATGTTAAAAAATAAGATTTAAGCGATTTTATTGGATCAATGAATTACATTGTATTGAAGAACCAATTCACATTATTTTAATCCTTTTCAGCTACCACTCCTGTTTGTTCTGATGTCTGGAAAGAAGAAGAAGGACTACAAGGCAGTCTTCACAGCAGTCAACGACCTCCTTCCTACCATGTCCATGCAGGAGATCATCCTAGACTACGAGATGGCCATGTGGAAAGCTGCCCATTCCATCTTCCCCACTGCCACAGTACGCGGATGCGCCTTCCACTGGGGTCAAGCAGTTTGGCGGAAGGTCCTTGTCAATGTTGTTATTGTTATTGAAATAATAAATAAGAAATATTAACATCATGTGTTTTTTTTTCATAAACCATTAGTCCTTAATTCAGTTTTCAAACTGGTACACAGTATCATGATAGGGTATGTTAATGAAAAGTTCCTTGAAGGATTCCCATTCTTTGAATTGATTTGAACAAATAAACAAGTAAACAAGTAAACAAAACAAAACATCTTGTGGTCCAGGAAACTTCTTTGTAGACTGGATGATTTTAATACACATAATATTAATTACACAATGATCGGTAAATTGGACTGTACGATATACTGCAGTAGATCATTTAAGTCAGTCATCTGGGAGAGGGTAACCAAACACGTTTTAAAGATGGTTAATAAATATATCAATAATAGATAATGTTGCTGGCATACAGACAGTTTCAAAGGGAACACACAACAATTTTTTTTTGGGGGGGGGGATTATTTAATAGCTGCAACCATTCCAGAAAAAAAAAACAAAAAACATATTCAGCTTACACTCAGGTATTTTCTGCACTGTTGCAAACATTCATAGCTGTACTAACCAAGAATATAGTAAGTATTTTATTGTTGAAAGTGTAATGGGAGAGGAGAAAATGCAGCGGACCGCCACATTCCTCCCTCCTTAAAGGTCTTTGGCCCTCCAAAGACCCCAACCCAGGCTCATCCATGGCAGGCCTCTCGCCTGTCAGTTCCAGGGCATGGCACGGCACGGCACCAAATGTAACGGGAGAGGAGAAAATGCAATGCAGCAGATCAGACCGGGATTTGAACCTAGGCCCCCTGAAATTCCGGTCAGGTGCATTACTAAATGAGCTATCTGGCCATCGGCGATTGAACCCAGCTGACCGCCACAAAAGTAACTATAAAGACATAAAAACGATAATTCTTTTAAAGAGTGATTTAATGTTTTCTCTTCAACTGTATATAAGGTTCCATGAGATTTTTAACACAAACATTGAAAAAAAAAACACAAAATAATGTAGTTATACATTGTTTAACAGATAAGAGGAAAAAAGACCTCACTCATGAATTAATCATATAAAATGAACTCGACAACCTTTAATTTTACTATGACCTTTATATATAAATTTTGTGTAATTACATGTAAACTTAATTTAGTGTGTCTAATATGGCTACCTGGTAAATAATAATTACAACATATCACAGTAAATGCAGGCATTTAGTCATTAAAGACAGAATTCCACAATCATATTGTCACTGGCTTCCATTCTTTATACATTCCCATCATATTTACTCATCCTTGCATGCCAAATAAAAAAGTGTAACAAACACCAACCACGCCTCTCTCAACTCATTCATCCAATCAAATCCTCATTCTTTATCATATTTTCCCATTGAAAAAAGTATTTAAAACAACAATATATATTCACTAACTTTTTGTAAAAAAAAAAAATTAAAAACTGAGTGTTAATATTTCATGAACAATCCTAAAAAGATGAAAGAAACATTTTCAATTTCCTTTTCTTTCTAGAACAAATAACACAGGTTCTAGCCTATAAACGTACAGTGCTTTCTTGTGTATTTATTCGGAATGTACCTGCATACATTTAAAGGCATTGTTCTTGTATCAATACAAAATTTTGTTTAAATAAAATAATATTCACACATTTCAAAATATAGTATTAACAATTAAGGGGAAACAATTCCATATAGTTAATTTCTCCTTAGTGAGCACTATTTTGCATGGCCCTTCTGAGGGGGTGGAGTTTGTCATACTCTGCGTTATCCAGACAGTCTTTGAGTCGGACCTGGTACTCCCGCTCGGCCTGCATTCCCAGCATGAACTCCTCAGCCTCCCTCTGCTGCGCCTGTTCACGGAGCCGGTGGTTGTAGATGATCTGGCCCTCCAGGTCCCGCTGGTAGTTGTAGTTCTTCTCCCACAGTTTGGCCGCCTGCTGCTCCTCCAGTCGGCGATTCTCCTCGATGGTGTTCAGTAATTCCTGTCTCTCAGCTTCTGCCTGTCTCTGCCTTCTGTCATTTTCTGCCACTGAAGTTTGAAAAAATAATCATATTACATTAATTAAATATATTGATTTTTTTTTTAAGAATAATTGAAAGAGAATTATTTAGTATGTCTAACCATTTTGTATTAAGTAAATAACAAATTTAAGTGCTTTATAATTCTTTTATGATTCTACATGTAGACTAATTAAGGTTAAGCTTTTAAAGATTTTTCTGAAACTCTGCGATCAATCCATACTTATGAATCCATTTGTATAACAAGAAGAACATAACATTTTTTGTCAGTTTTAAGCTGTGCTAGAAAGAGTTGTTGTACATGTATGTCAATGGCAAGATAAGATCATGCACTTATGGAGATAATGAGGGTATCTTCAGTTTAAAGAAACCCTTTCAGTGAATTAAGGGGCATATCCATCCTTACTTTGTATATGCTTTGTTTCTAATACTTTCTCATTATTGCCAGTCACTGGTTTTTAAGTTCATTCTACTTTTATAGAAATTGAGGAAATAGAATGAACATGAAAACCACGACTTTTAACCACGATGTCCCCTGGACTGTACAGATTTATCCTGTGGAATGAGATAACAATGGATTGCTGGACACTTACATCTCTCCTTGATCTGTACGGCCCGGCCTGCCATTACGTCCTGTAACAGCTTCTTCCTGGCCTGCCTCTCCAGCTGCCATTGGTTCAGACGCTTCTGCCACATCTTCTCCACCTCTTCGTTGACCAGCTTCTCTAGCTCTCGCTCCTTGATCTTCTCCTCCTCCATCAACTGATGTAAATACTCTCTGTACCGCCTGTCTTCTTCACGCAATTCTTTCTGTTAAATGTTAACATCAAATATATAAGCGAAAATATACAATTCATTTCAAAAGAAAGGTATAAATTACTTACAAAATAAGTTATTATGCAAGCTTATTCAAGAATATCAACATGTATTTCAGATCATTATACATGTAATAAGTATATAATACTAAAAACCCTAAAACAAAATATTACTCACACCTTAAATATAACTGAAATTAACGGGTAGTTGTGTTAACACTTGAATGTATAGAATGAAATGTTTTTCATACCTTCCTCTGCAACTGTTCCATAGCCTCATTCCTAGATTCCTCCAATAGCTGCTCCAGGATCTTGAGGTCAAAGGCCAACTGTTCCTGTTCTGCCTTGGCTTTCTTCTTCATCTTCAGTTTCAGGGAGAGGTCCAGCACATCTCTGGTTTCCTGCTGCTGTCGGAGCTTCTCTTCTCTGGCTTTAGCCTCCTCCATTTGCCTTAAAATGGCCTGCTCCCTCTGTTTTGGTAAAACAAAATATATTTATATAAGAACCACAATAAAGCTGTTATTATCATTTTTGGTATTTTATTCTGAGCTGGTTAAAACTTGATTTTTTTAAAATGAGGATTCTATGCTCATTTGTTTAAACAGAATTAAACTTTTTTCCTCATTATACATTCCTTAATCTAAATATTGAACATAATTGATTTAGTGAGGCTTTAGTTTTCTTGTTGTGCCATTTTACCAACAAAAAAAAAAAGTTCAACCATCCATTATAAGAATGAAGCAAATAGGAGGACGTCACATAAGGTTGTTAATCACTCACCAGGAGTTGTGCCTCCTCCTCCTTGAGGCGTCGAGCTGCCTCCTTCTGCTCCTCCAGTGCTGCCATCTGCTTCCTGAGGACTGACAAGACTTCCTGGTTTCTCTCGTGAGCTGACTGGGCATCTCTCTCCTCACGAGCAGCCTTCTTCAACCTGTAATTGAGAAAGTTATTCTAATGAAAGTGCTGTGAAAGAGGTATAACTCCTACCAATCCCTCAAATTAGTCAGTTTCAAATTAATCACCTTAATGAACTTTTTAAAAAATCCTATAATCATTTCAAGTTTTGAAATAAAAAGAGAAATAATCAAGTGAAAATTTATAATCAGGACTCAAAAAAATTATCCTGAAAGTATTCATCTCTTGGATTTTGAAATGAAGACAGCATTCTGACTAAAAGTTATTTCCTCAGAATATCAGAATCATACAAAATAATCTGTAGGACTAGTACTTACATGTCTTCCTCCCAGAGCTTGGCATACATGGCCTCGTGTTCCTTCCTCTCTTTCTCCAGCTGTTCCTTGATTCGGAGCTGTTCCAGTCTATCTACACATACTTCATCTTGTTGTCTCTTTGATATTGTGGACCTTAACTCTTCACACTGGTTTCTAAAAATAAGATAATAAAAGCTTTGAATTTTATACCTCAATTCTTTTTTTCTATATACATTTACTATTAACTACCCTGGGCACTAAGCTGCCATAAAATTGTTTATTTATCCTGCATCAACTTCTGTAATGGTCATTTAAAATTCATGTAAATCAAATGTAATTATAGGCAAATGATTTTTTTTTTTCCATCTTTCTCTTGTCAAAAATTAACTTGCTTTGAATTAAAAACTCTTAGAGATAATATCAAATTTCCAAAAAAGAGAATCTTCAGATATGTCTGCTTTATTGAATTTTTGTTAGTCTTGGACAGAAAGATTGACTTGAATTTAACATTCACTATAATAGCACATTAGGAAAATTAATTCTAATTCATGGGATTAAACATGTATTAATTCAAAATCGCTGTACTTTAATACAGTTCATATAACACATACCTGAATTGTTGATCATATTTTTCTTGAACGAATTGCAGCCTCTCATCTTCTCTTTTATCTTTTAAAAATTTGGCACGTTCCCTCATTTTGGCTTGACGTTCCAGAACGGTTTCCTCCCGAGCCTCCATTTCCCTCAGGTAACTCTGTTCTTCTGCTCTAAGCATTGCTCTTAACCTGAAAATAACACAACATTAAGATAATTTAAAATCACTAAAAACTAAAGAGGGCAATCAGCATCAGCAGACAGTTATTTATACTGTTTTTCTTTCTTTCTTTTTTTAATTTTCATTCATTCATGGGTTTTTAGTCAGACTCTGAATAAAATCATTCCATACCTTTCTCTCCTATCCTCAATTGTAAACTGACTAGCTAACAAGAGACCATCCACTTTCCTTTTTACTGTGTTTAATTTGATTTTTCTGTCAGTTGACCTTTCCCATTCATTTTTCAGGTCATTAAATTCCATATATTGTGTGTTTTTTCTGTAATTTTCAAGCATATCTTCCTTCTTTCTTCTCTCCAATATTAAATATTCTGGTGGTTTAACATTTGGTGGTCTTGCTTTCTGTAAACAATATAGTGAAAGTAAAGATTTTGTTCTTGTTTAACTAAGAGTGCATGTTTAACATGTTTATTAGTGATCCCTGTTCAATCTTTTAACTTTCAATACACGAAACATGTACAAAACGACAAATTTGTTTCCATTAATGCATGTTATCACTTTCCTAAGCAACAACTTTGAAAACATTTTTTTATGTCATGTACCCCCTACATGTTGTATCTGTTTAACATGTTTATTAGTGATCCCTGCAATCAAAGCAACAAATTTGAAAACATTTTTTTTCTGTACCCCCTACATGTTGTAAAGTCCATGGAGACCAATCTCACAGACTGTAAAATGACAGAAAAACTTGCTCGACAAAAGTAAATGTTGCAATCAATGCATATATTGAATATGCATACAGATTTTTTTTAAAAATTATATCAGATAATTCTAAGATATTTTTTGCACAGCAAATTTATGTAAAATTTATAATTTTATAAGATAGATAGATGGGATATTATTTTCCTCATTTAAACAACATTATTCTCTTTCATCTTCATCTTCATGTTTTGATTCTGGAAAATGTGTAAAATGTAGAATCAGTAACAGCCTACACATACAATTGACATGTTAAAATTAACAATTTTAACATAAATAAACTCAACCTTCAAAAGAAAACATATCTTTTGTCCATATTTACAAGTTCAGATTGATAGCTACTCAATCTTTTTCAAATTAATGCTTTTCTACCACAATCAGCAATCCTTTGCTGACTCGGCTAAGCTCCATTCAGTGTGCAAGGCAAGAGCTACCAGAGGAGCTACGAGTGTCCTTCAAGAGTTATTTACTCAAATTTAAATCCAGGATGGAGAACTTGTGAAAATGGATTAACAACATGTAAAGGTTAGTTTTCTCGTGGCAGTTTTATGTATTTATGTTTAAATCGTTAATTTAACACGTACATGCCTTTTATGTAGAATCAGATATATTTCAGTCAAAATGTTAGTTCAAGTTTAGGCAGTCTATGGTTGTTCTTTTCAGAGACATATAAAACCAGCATGGTTTTAAATGTCTCTGTTCTTTTTACACATTTTCTAGAATGCAAACATGTCCAAGGCCTGCTAAGAGAAGTTAATGCAGGCAAAAGCCTGTCTACGTCTTTAAAGAGAATATTGCGTATTTATAGTTTAAACAGACTAATTTTTGTGAAAGAAATTTTATTTTACTTACGATTGCAACTGAATGAGGCGTCGGACCCGTCACCTCACGGGTCCTCCGCTGTCTTTGGACCATCATTTTCAAGGATTGGAAATGATGGCTTCGGTATTCTGGAAAGAAAGTTATGTACAATTTCAAATGAAATAATCAGAATTCAGGGCAAGGAAAACGCAAAATATGAACCAAAAATTACAGGAAGCTGAAAGTAAAACGATATAAAATCATTTATTTACATACCCAATTTATCGACTGGCGAGGTTGTTGCACACTGTATCCAGGAAGTGAAGAAATCTCGCGAGAACTGGAGACTTCCGGTAAAAGGGCGCTGATTTTAAAAACAAAAATAATCATCACATTTTTCAATTTGATTGCCATACTCATCGGTGAGAAAAAAATCATGATTATATGCAATCATATACAAACATTGAATATTCAGAGCTAAAAAAAAGTATTCAAGTCAAATCAATTTGTAAGTTTTTATCGGTATTGCTTTATTGAAAAAAATAGGCCAGAGTAAATTCTGGTTTCAAATGGATTTCAATACTGTAGGTACAAATTTATAAACCAAGCCCCGGTATGCCCAGTGGCTTGAGTCACTCTGAGTAGAGAAAATTCTAATGACTCAATATGATAACTTATCGCTATTGTAAGAAAGTCAATTGGGTATGAATGTTGATGGTGGGATCACTTCAAACTTCTTCATTTTTCTTTTTTAGGCCAATGAAACTAGCATATCTAACTTACAGGTGTCTGGATGGCTGTGTAAATAAAAACATCTGAAAAGTGAAGAATTTTGCCCTTCCAAATTTGTGAGTATACATGTACTGAGATGGTAGCTGCAGATCTGTAGCGTTATGGTTTTGTAGTATGGAAAGGAGGAATGATTAAACATACATTGAAAATTCATTAATACATATATATTGAAAACATATGGCTCTCTATTGTGACGTCATATTCTAGTCAGGTGCTCTAACCACTGAGCTATCCAGGCCGATGTCCATCACAATTGAAATCAACAAATGACATCAACAGCATTCAAGACACAACTATTTCCTTTACTTTAACATTAGATATTAAAGGTCGTGAACAAGGTAGGCTTCACGGCACTATGCTTAGTATGGAAAGGAGGAATATTTTAACATACATTGAAAATTCATAAATACATATATATTGAAACCACGGCCAGAATGGGAGAGGATCGTATATTTTGGCCATGGTTTGTGACGATGGTACTGAGGTGGTAGCTGCAGATCTGTAGCGTTATGGTTTTATATATTTGTCATTGACCATTATAAATGCTACAGATCCCGTATTGCAAAAAAGTTGCAATTTACAGCATATTTTTTGCACACTTTTGGGGAGAATTTCTCCACTTTCCAGCATTTAGTCAATTAACTGACTTTCACTTCATAATTCCAGGCGCATAATTATTTAACTAATCTGTATATTTTATCCATCTCCCAATCCTCTATAGTTGTCTCTACAAGTGATAAACTCGCTTGATTAAAATTATTTGTTAGATTGCTGAAAGTTCACTTCAAGCTAGTTTATTGCTTGTAGAGACAACTATATTAAATCAAATGGTTGGGAGGTTGATAAAATTTACATATTGGCTACAGAATGTGTCTAGAATGAGGTCCGTGAAAGGTAGTTAATTGACTGATGTTGAAGTGGAGAAATTCTCCCCAAAATGCGCAAAAAATATTGCGCTGTAAATTGCACCTTTTTTGCATTATGGGAACTGTAGCATTATGGTCAAAGACAAATATATCAAACTGTAACGCTACAGATCTGCAGCTACTTAGAAGGTAAATAGTCTAGTCTACTGATTATGCACAGAAATAATCAAATTAAATGACATCTATATTAGGAAAATTTATAACAAGGCCGTTAGTCCAGTAACAGTAACTACAAAATTGAAGTAAATGGTAACTTAAAGAATTCTTTATGTATATATCATTGTTGTCATCTATAAGTTTTTATGCTGATGTTTATTAATATTCAGTGTACGTAAACACCATGGAACTGGGTAGTTTGCCAATGCTGATGAACCATTTCTGTGAGAAGTTGGAAGGCATTCGTTTTATGATTGACCTGAAGGAGAACAAGAGAGCTGATGAAGATGAAGAGGAAAGTACTTGTCAGGAACATATTGAACACCTCTCAGAAGATATTGACTCACTCTCAGCAATTCTTCTAGATATCAAATCAGTTCTGAAACAAAGACAACAGAAAGTGGATGAAATGAAGGTTTGGTTCTTCACATTCATGTTTAAGCATTCATATACACCTGTATCAAATACATTCTATATGTACAAAAAAAATTCTCATACCCAGAATTCTTGAAATCTTATTTATTTGGGCCGACGCAAATGGTTGTCGGGAATAAAATTTTTCAAATATTGTTTATGTATTTAGATTACAACATTTATCTATCAGCGTTTTGAAAATTTGTTGAAAGAAATGAACCAATGTAGCGAATTTTATAAGAAATAACGCATTGTGCATGAGCATTAATACAACTAGTGAACTTGTTGATGATAGTCGTATAACATGCTTTTCGTAGATATTTATACGGTATTGAATTAAAATCGAAACAAATTTTAAACTATTCAATTTTCTAAAACCGTGATATTTCACTGTCAAAAAATGTTCACCAATTTCATACTGTAAATGCTTGTAATTTGTGAGAGACACACATCGTGAAATGAACTTATTTTACTTTTAAAATCCGGTAGGGAAACAGTGTGGCGCTTTTATTCCCTCGCGCAACTAAACAATAATCACGTACGTTTCATCAACCTGGTATATCCGGGTCGCTTTGATAGACTCGCTCAATAAGTTCTACTTCGTATTTGTGCATTGTCATATAATCGTGCGTATCTTGAGACAGTCTGCATACCGCAATGATAAAATGTATGTCATCTTTAGGTCACCTGAGTAAATACAATTATTTGACCTATTTCGCGGTTTTATTAAGAAATTTCCTCGTCGTGCGTTGTGCGTTAACATTTTAACATGCACGTTATTTTCTGAAAGTGACCAATTTCATGAAATAAATCATTTATTTACCAAGATGTTTGAATAAACGTCTGAAATCAATTTTCAAGTCTTTATTCTAATAAAATTTTGGACCTACGCTGCCTTGGCAGGACTCATGTAGATCCTTTTGTTGTGGGTCCTTTGGTCCCATAGGAAATAATTTTGAATTTCGAACACTGCATTCATATACACCTGTATCAAATACATTCTATATTTTCAAAAAAATTCTCATACCCAGAGTTCTTCAAATCTTTTTTTCGCTGTCAGTCATTTGGACTGACTGCCATGTGAAGTTTGTCAGTCCAAAGTCCAAACAGATTTCTATCAGTCCAAAAAAAATTCCATAAAAAGATGAAAACTGTATTTGAATTTTATTATCAATACATTGTGCACCCAGCGTCAATAAACACTGCACACTTTTTGCCAATTTGATCGTCGTATTACAACTTTCTTTGAATTCTCATGGGGGTCCATTTTCTTCATAAGTTTTTAATCTAGTTCAATTTTCTCACCTGGCTTACCTTAGCGCTGTCAAAAAAACTAGTTTACCAATCATAGTTTGGGACTTGTGTTCATCAGAGAAGCCATTACAACATACAGAAAAGCGTTTGAAAGATTACGATCAGTCGGTTATAGAATATAGTGAAAATACATGAATTCTCTGAAAATCTTCCTCTCTGCTCACTTAGGGTCATTTTGACTGACAAAGAACGCAAAGTAATCGGTCCTTGGTTGTTTTTATCAGTTTTGCCAATATGACCAAAGGATTTCAAGAACTCTGCATACCGCAATGATAAAATAGTCTCTTTATTATTATATGCCCGTAAAAATACATGAATTCTTTGAAAATCTTCTTTTCTGCTCCTGGGTATTAAATAAACAAACCGGCTCATAACTTATGAAACTATTAGTGCCTAGGATTATCAAACTTTGTCATCTGATGCATCTTGGGTATAAGGTGTGTCGCGCACAAAAAGTTAGGGCGGGGCTCTGACCTTTAATATATAGCCAAAATATGGAAAAATCCTTTCCTGCTCCATATTAGAAAACTATATAGTTACAATCATCAAACTTGGCCAGTTAATGCATTTTATGGCCCCAGGGTGTGTTCAGGTATTTCAAGGTCACTGTGACCTTTGATTAAATAAATTTTAAAAAAAAATGTGTCTCTTTAAAATCTTTCTCTCTGCAAATATTGCACTGCCCTTATTAAAAAAGTGTTAACTAAGTACATACTTATTTTTTTAAAGCATATACTTGACAGCAATCTATAACAAAATTATGTATTTTATAGAAATCCTACCTCTCCCATGAGTGTAATTATCAAGCACTGGTGATTATATTGTGAAAATACATTGATAATCTTTGAAAATTTTCATCTCAAATTAGAGAGAAATTAATGCAGATTTGAACTGAGGACCTATATAGCTATGATGGACAAGGGCTCTATATCTTCCAGAATTGTGAATGTGTGAGCCCCAGTTGGATTAAAAATAGCTCTTGCTGGCTAGCCTAAGTTTTAAAATGATATACTGAAAAGTAATAAAACTGGTTTAATATCTGCTCCTTATATTATATAAAATTGTTAATTTACAAAAACTAATTTTATGGGTTCATGTGTGGTAGTGGCACTACTGTCCATATGAATTTTATATTAAAATGCATTTTTTGACATTAAATGTCAACAACAAAAAATCTTTGCAACTGCTATGTTTTTAAAAAAGTTATGATGATCAATGAGGCCTCATTCAAAATTGTGAATGCCAAGCATCCAGTTAAAGATTAATCAATTCAATCACTGGAAAGTTGTTGCATAATGCTCAGGTGACCTATAAGGCCCATGGGCCTCTTGTTAAAAAATCTTATAGAAACCAAAGGTTTATTACAATTTCAGGTTTAAGTTATTTACTGTATACATTTGTTATGCCCCGCCATGAATATGGCCGGGGCATATAGTGTTTAATATGTCCGTCTTTGACAAGGTCCTTCACAACCTTCTAGTCCATCAGTGATGTACACTATTGTATTATAACTAATGCTTACATCACAAGCTAAGTTTTTTAGGAATGAAAAATCATCCAAATATTTTCATCAATCTTCATATGCTGATAGACTATTGATGAAAATTGTATTTTTGAACTGCATATCATTTTTTGACCTTGACCTTTCCTTTGAAAATCTTGAAAAACCTCAGGTTTCTTACAATTTCAGGTTTAAGTTATTTTTAAACATATCATTCAAGATAATTTATCAAACTTCACATGTTTATAAGAACTTGTCTTTTTACTTCCAGTAATTAAAGATTCAGGGGTACCATATATAATTTTTGCCCTGTCCATGTGCCAGTCTGTTTGTCTGCAAAACTTCTAATCTTGCTCATAACTTCTGAGTGGGTGGGGCTATGCCTTTCATATTTCACAGTGTATTTCTTATGACAAGAACCTTCTTTTGGTACCACCAAATTTGACCTCATGACCTTGAAGTTTGATCCACTTTTACAAAAAAATCACATTTTAACCTTGGCCATAACTTTTAAACAGTTGGTGCTAGGGTTTTCATACTTCAAATGTGTATTAATTGTGACAGGACCTTTTAATGCTCAATTTTTTACCTTGACCTTAGAGTTTGACCCACTCTTTAAACACTTTAACCTTGGCCATAACTTTCGAACATTAGGACTAGGGCTTTCATATCTCATGTGCATTCATTATGACAAGACCCGCCTTTGAGTACCAACAGTTTTGACCTTTAGACCTTGCCCTCCGGACTCTAATTGGAGTTTGACATGCATTTGAGAAAATTCAACCCTAGCTATATAAGCTGTCATATGGGGGCGTCAGTCTTTCAAAAACGCATCTTGTTAAAATTGCAAATTTATTGGAATGAGAAATTTAATGACTGTCAGTTTGACACTGCCATGAAACGTAACAACATAGAAAATAGGGAAATATTATTTTGATAATAAGATGTTTACTGCTTATTTATAGATAGCATTCATGAAAGCGAGTTTCCAAATCTTTGATCCTATATGTTTGATTAATTACAGGCTTTGACAGAATCACTTGATATCAGCAGTCTGCAACATTTGTTGGATAATATTCCTCCACATCTACCAAAGCCAGTGAAAGCAGATCCACCCCAACAAAAGTATGCTCCTTCACAAGAGAAACATTGATTTAAAGTTAATTTTCATGGGCAAAAATGTTTTTATTCTCCAGCACGATGGTTCTTTGTCTTGTTGCTTATTATTCACGTAATGCTACATGTATTACCTGTAAATTTATTTCTTACATGCTTGGGGAAAATTAGAAGAAAAAAAACTTCTTTTTGTTGAATGGTAGCACTGGGCCAAGTATCAAGATATTGATATCCCTTCATGATTGTAATCACCAAGTCTGTGTCTGTCTGTGCTGAAATCACTCTTATTTATATAAGGATGGAAACTAGGGTCCATCTAAGTCTACAGACTTCATATTACTACATTATAAGATGGAAAATATTTTGTACAAGCCTTCTTGTTCCAATATCATTTACAGTTTTTGAATAGCCATTGTAAAATCTTTTTGTTTAATACATCAACATATGTTGAAGAATATATGTCTTGAATATTCATGAGTCCAAAGGGTTAAGGCTATTAATACAGCTATTTTGGAATTTAAAAGAGTTGCTGCACAGTTTCTATGTTATAATTTCTTAAACTGTCTTTGATTACCATGTGAACAGCATGATCTAAGGTTGAAGTGGTAAAAAACGTATTTATTTCAACATGAAGACTTCACATTCTCTATCCAATGACCCCTACCCCCACCCCACTCCTCAAAAAAAAAATCTGGGACCATTTACTGAAAGGACTACAGTGGATAAGATTATTTATTTACCATACTTTAAACCCCAGTGTTCTACTTTAAGTGAAGTATCTAATAGATCTTTTTGTTGGGATTTTGAAACAGATCCTGTGAAAGCCGAACAGTTGTAGAATCCTCTTCCTCCAATGATAAAGAGAACATCCCAGATAAAAGGAGTCAGTCCAGAGGAAGGAGGCAAGCCAAGGCAGTCTATATCCCCGCCCTGGTCTACATAACTGTGGAGGAATTCGAGGAGGTTCCAAAGTAAGATGTTCATGTGTTTAAAATGGATATAGAATCTTTTTTATGTTCCTTCAGACTTTCAATTGGAATTATTTACAAATTTCATTCACATGAAACCAGAATCTGTAGAACTGTTTAAATTTTTCTCATTTTCTAATAATTCTAAATAATTTGACTGAAAAAATGAAATATATTTTGTTATCCTCAAAGTAAATTAAAAAATACATCTTTTATAGATACATGAAAGGGAGACTGAATTACAATCAGGTAAACACTGCCATTGATGAGCTAAATAAGGCATTGAGTGAGAAGTACAAAATTCTAGGAATGAAGAGAACTACGCTTAATGATGCGAACAGGAAGCGATACGAGAGATACAAAGAACAGGAGTCTAAGGACACCAAAGGTGAGTACTGACTAAGGGATAGCTGAGATGCATACAGTCGTCCACTGTCCCTGAATATTGTGCGGTGAAGTTGCTATATAGACTGGGTAAGGGACCTTGGAGTGGGAATTCTGTAGGGTTTGTATTATTGGTATTAAGCTTTGGAAATATAGAAGCTTATAAGCTTCAAAATCGGAGGTTTAGACAAAACCATTTTTTCTATAATGTGTTCAATATCTTAATGCTCAAGTGTTTTTAATATCAATGTTTGATAATTAAGATGTATGAATACCAAAAAAAATGTTTCTAACAGGAATAAACCAGGACTGGGTGTATAAAATGTTACTCCCCATAAATAATATTATACATGTATAAGAAGTAGAATTCTAACTGAGCTGACCCTTTCATTGTGTACTCTCTATGCTCAAATACACTAGGCTTGCCCTTATCCTAACATTTTCTGAAATAGTAAATTTTTGTTTGAATAGCTTTCCATTCCAGAGGTTTCCAATTTTTTTGGAGCAGGTCTGACATATTGTATATTTTTATCCACTCAAAATGAACCCAGATTTGATGATATTGGTGCACTTAATGATTGACTCTTCCTTGTACTTGAGCATTTGAAATGCTTATAAAAATAAACTGATTTTGTAAAATTTTGAAATTTTCAGAAGTGCAATTTTCACTTTACCTAGCAGGATCAACTATAGATTCCAGCAATGAAAGCTCTCTTAGATAATTTACACTAATTTAAACCTTATATGGAAATTGAACTTTGACAAGAATTAAGAAATTTATTAAAGGTACTTGGACACAGATTTGAAGTTAATATTTTCTCTATAATATTACGACTTATATATTTTAATAGCATTTCACACAAAAATTTATTTCATGTAAAAAGCTTCAAATTTTTTGGTGGGTTTGATTGACATTGGGTATTGTAAAACCAGTTATATTGCAAATTTTACTTTGAATATTGCAATATATTATATTGTAGATGGGTTTGATACTGTCAAATTCAAAGACTATATATTTGAATTTATCTTTAAGTTGTAAAGGGGGAGGAGGGATAATTTTTGCACACATAATTATAACACTTTACTTTTAATCAAATACCAGGTAAAATAATAACAAAATGAACCCCCATGGAGAATTTTCAAATTAAAAAAAAAGTTTATACAGATTACAGAATATATAAACTTTTGTCTTTTTATCATTATTATAATTTTTTTTTGGGGGGGGGGGTAATGAAGTTGAAATGCTATTCAAGTTAAAACAATACATACTATATGGGAAAAAAATTATTGTATTTACAGAATAAAATTAAAGCCAGAAAGAAATTTTGACTTATTTTTTGAGTGTTTTGGTGTTTTATCTAACCCGACCTAATTTCACATCAGGAAATGGCCTGTATCTAGTGATTTAATAAATATATAGCATGAAGGTGTTTAAAATGGCCTGAAAGTTATAAAAAAAATCACACATCTTCAAGTTAAAACACGGATGACCATTTACTTGTAATATGAACATGTATATTGATTGAATTTCATCAAAAGATTCGATGCGAGATTTTGAGAACCACAATACACTTGGTATACACCCTGTAGAAATGTTTAACATATTATCTTTCTTATTAGTTTTATTTTAAAGTCTTATAATTAATTATAAATCATATTTAAAGTAAGATATTTAAAATTGCAACAGTAAATTAAACGCTCTCTCTCTCTCTCTTTTCTCTCTATCTTTCTCTTGAACTCTTTTTATCTCTTTCTCTGAAAGCTGACGAAGTATTGTTTTAACGAGATTGAAAAAGCCTGAGGGAGTTACAAGTATTATTTCAGCAGTTTCTACAATGAAGGAGGTTTTTATATATTTTTATATATATCGTGAAATACCGGTATCTGATTTTCATATCGCGATATATTATCGTGGTGGAGAATACCGCAATATACCGATATACCGGTAATATTGCACACCCCTATGATTGACACATCCTTGCATTTTCACATATTTTAACTTTATTCTTAATCCTTAGGAAAAGTGGCAATCTTTTTGTGTTATTAATTACCTCAGAAAAATATTAGGTTACAAAGAAATCACAAGTGACAGTGTGATTATAAACAAAATAGGACTTGATCGAGATATCTTATTGATAAATGGTTATTTTTTTCTCACAGGAGAGCACTTCATAGTGGATACTGACATCAAGGAATTTACCAATTTCAAACTGGACAGTGTTGGACGATCAGTGTTAACAATACTACGACATTGTGGTCGGACCAAAGAAATCCGGGGAGGAAGGCTCACTCGATACGCGTGTATAGAAGTCTACTAAACCAGGCGTGAATCTTCAATTATCAACTGAATCTATCTTGTTTTATATGCAAAAAAAAAAATGAAAGAATATTGATACCGTTCATAAACTGATCAATACCATACTGTGATCTTGAAACAATTCAAGGAGAGATAACTTTTGTGTGTACACTTTCATCAATGTTTCATTGTCTTCCTTTACCTAAGCTCTGAGCAGAATGACAGTTAAGACATCTTGTTTTCATCTCCTTTTCCTTTTCCTGTTTGTTTGTTTTTTTGTCCCCGCTTTCGCGAAATCTCAATCGTCTGTTCGTCTTTCCGTCAGTCTGTCCATCCGTCACAAAAACTTTAACCTTGCCCATAACTTTTGATTAAGTGGAACTATGACTTTCACATTTACATTTGTATTCCTTGTGACAAGACCTTTCTTTGGGTACCACCAAAGTTGACCTTTTGACCTTGGAGTTTGACCCACTTTTACACAAAAATTCTGAACTTTTACTTTGGCCATAACTTTTGAATGGTAAAAAACTAGGACTTTCATATTTCACATATGTATTTCTTGTGGCAAGGCTTTTGGATACCAACAACCTTGACTTATTGACCTTGACCTTGGAAATATCTGAACTTGTGAAAAAACTTTAACCTTGGCCATAACTTTTAAACGGTAAGGGATAGGGCTTTCATACTTCACATATGTAATTCTTGTGAGAAAACCCTTCATTGGATACAAAGAACTTTGACCTTGGAGTTTAACTTTAAAAAGAACAAACATTGACCATACCTTTAAATGGTAAGGGTTAAGGCTTTCATGTTTCACATATTTAATCCTTGTGACAGGACCTTTCATTGGATTTCAAGAATGACCTTGGAGTTTGACCTACTTTTAATAAAAAATCTTTGGGTAATGTTAAATTTGCATTTAAGAAAATTTTAATCTTCGCTGTGTTGCTGTTAGGGGTCCTCAGTGTTTCAGAAACACATCTTGTTCCTTATCTTGAGATATGGCTTTCATATTTGACATTTGCATTACCTGTGAAAAAAATATTTCCAAGCATGTGATGATTTGTGACCTTTTGACCTTGACCTTCAGGATTGATTTATATATTTCTAAATGACATATGATAGGGTGTTCATATTTGAGACAATATGTCATAAAAAATGACATCTCACCCACAAAGACACCGAAAGCGGGGGACCACAATTCTTTGAATTTACTCTTTTTTTTTTTGGTCAAAATTTGGGAAATAGGCCATAGCTTAATTTTTCACACCTTAATTGTGAATAATTCCAAGATCATTGGATGTCTTTATAATTTATTTGTGACTCCATTGTTATTAATCTATTTACAGTGACCCTTATCTGAATATTTTTTGATTGTTGACAAACGTATCAAAAATTGAGTGCTTGAGAAATCAAGATTAATGCTTATCAATAAATAATGGCAAGCTACTTCATCACTTATTCGTTTTGGGATCCTTACTTTTGAATTTGGGCTATTCGAAGGGGAGGCACAGATGTAGAATACTGAAATAGGGTAGGGTTGTTAATTTCGACTGCTCGTATTGATAGAATACATGTACCTTAAAATAGTTTGTTTATAGCCTTTTGTTTTGTGTATGTGTAATTTTAATTTTTATGCAGAAAGAAAATGCATTTTTAATAAATAAAGTCAATAATAATTTTACTTCTAGAAATGTAAATAGGTTCTTCAATGGAAAATTACATCCAAGAAGAAAATTTATCACCCAGAATTTACAGACGAGTATTTTTTAGCCACTGAGAGAAATTATCAAATCATCCACCAACAAATATTAGCCTCGAGTTTCTTTCATTGAATACAAAGTTACATACTGTTGCTACAACATGTACATGTATATATGTGTATATGTCTCTCCTTTTTACATGCAGTTATAAAATGTACCTCTGATGATTTAGTAGATATGATTATAAATACTTTATGTTCCTCATGTACCATGTATGGTTTGAGCAAATAAATTGATTGATGCTTCTAGTTTGTCCCATTGTACCAGTCAATGTTTCAGATGCTGCAATTTCAGCAAAGGAATGACCAGGTTTACTGGTTAACATTGTTGGGGCAGGTTAAAAGTTTTTGGTGCAATTTTCATTTCCAAGTAACTATAAGCCCTAGGTTGACAAAACTTGCATGGGATGATACATTTCACGGTCCACGCTTATGGACTTGCTACGGATGCTGAATCTGACTTTCATTTTGTGATATGAGTGAACAGGTTAAAGCTTTTGGATCAGCTTCATTCTAAAGTAGGTATAAGCCCTATGTTGAGCAAACTCGCATAGATGATACCACAGGCCTTTAGATCGCTTAGAAAAAAAAATTGAGGTGTTGAAAAAAAATATATATATTTTTTTTTTTTACACACAATTTTTTTTTCAAGCGATCCAAAAGCCTGTGGATGATATATCTAAGGATGCACACTGATTAGCTTGCTTTGGATGTTGAACATCCTTTGTTGCTCTTGAGGAGAAGTTTGTTACATATGTAAAACTTTGATCACCCATAGTGGCCCCACTCTACCCCTGGTAATCAAGATATAAACAAACTTGATTCTAAACTACTCGATAATGATTCCATTCCAAAACTAGAAGTACTGTAAGCATTGTGCTCACTAAATGATACCTCCTCCTCCCATATGATTATAATGGCAAAGTCCATTTTTGCTCCGGGAGACCCAAAATAAGTGTCAGATCAAAAAGTAAAAATAGAATTTGCACAATGGCATTATGTAATAACATTTCTGTGAAAGTGTCATTAAATTTTATCCAGTACAGATAGCTAGACGGAGGGACATCCCGATCACTATATACCCTCCCACTTTTAACTGGGGGTATAATGACTGATCATGGTTTTGCTATGCTTGAAAAGAAGATTTAAAATGTTTTCCCTATAGATTCTTATGTAAAATTGTGATCCCCCAGGGTGCCCCCCCCCTAAAATTGAAGTAAGTAATTCAATTTACCTGATTTTCTAAAATAATAAATCGCTTTCTCAACAGCAGAATCAGTGTAACTAAGATGAGCATTGTGGCCGACTGTTTTTAATTTTTGCTAGCATCCAGTCAACTTTTGATAATGATCAATTTTTCAAAGAGGGCAACAAAGTTGCTTCTGAAAATTAGTATTAATATGCACCTCAATTCAGCACAATACTGTACCACATTGGAATTTTTTATAATATTTGAATTATTGCATTGAACACATCAAATTAGTTGATATCTTCTGATAATAAAAAAATCTCATGATCTGACAACTGTGTCTGCATTAATTTAGCACTGCATAAATTATATAAGTTATGTTATGCATGCATGCATGCATATTAAATACCAAAACTTCTCCTCTGCTTTCAAGGGCTTGGAACCTTCTACTTGAAAAAAAACATGTTTATTCAAGCAGGCAGCATTAAAAGTTTTGTGCATTTTTTTTAAATTTTTTATTTTTTTTTTTTTTGTTGCTCTAAATTTTTTTTTTAATTCAATTTTTTTTCTTTCTTTTCTTTTTGCTTTTTTTGGTATTGTTTTCTTTTTTTTTCTTATTATTATTATTTTTTTTTTTTGCTGTTGTTTTTTTTTCTCTTTTATTTCTCTCTCTTTTTTTTCTTGGCTTGCTAATGAAATCAGACATTTACAAACATAAGCAAATCACCATTTAACACAAACACAAAAAAATCTATTTACAAATCACAAATTAACATTTTCAAATCAAAATTTTATATTCTTTTAAATGCAAATCATGTCACAAATTACAATTAAGGTATTCCAATTCTCAGGTTCTGAAAATCAAGCATTGACTAATTGGAAATGCTCACAAAAAATGTCTCTGAATTTTCAAAGTAACATGTTCTAACCACAATAATTCTTCAAACTTCATCTTTCAAGTTTATTATATTATATATACACTGTATAGAGAAAATTAGTAAATCTCAAATACTTTTTCAGGGATTGCAAATAAAAACACCTGCTATGCATTTTCCAATTCAAATTTGATCAATTAACACATTTTAAAAATAAAAATCGTAGGTATCCAGATTTTTGAAGAAATTCCACAATTTAGTACATATAATGTACTTTAATTTCTCCCATATGGTTATAACTGCAAAGTGTAAAATGACTTTCCTGTCATTGCAAAGCACCATAAATAACTTCTAACTTTATATCATATCAATAAACATTGGTATCTATGGTTAAGATTAAAATGAACATCAATTTCTTGATACATGTATATAAAAAATGCTTTTATGTGAAAGTTTCATCAAATTTCATTCAGTGGTATGAGAGGTATAAAATGAAAATTGTTGCATGAAAATATTTAATTTTCAAGTTTCATTTTGAGACTTTTTGAACTAAATTAAAAATTAAAGACTTGTCCTTCTTGGACGGAATTAACGATTAAAAGCAATTTATCTTACTGCATATTTAGTCACATCAGTACATAATGCATTCATTTAGATGCACACAGCAAACAAATTGAATCAGAATTGACTATAATAAATTGTACAACTGCTGACAGACTTTGTACATTAGAAAAATAATTATTTAATATTGAAACAATGATTGCATCTGCAAAATATATAACTTGTTTAATTTCAGATAAAATAATTCATTTTACAATGACAAAGTGTACAATGATTTTCCTGTCTTGCAAAGCACCATAAATAACTTCTAATAAATGTCCATGATTTGGTTGGCCTAACATAGCAGGTCATATTTTACAAACATTTTATAGTTTTTTTTTAACATTTAGTTTGAAAGACCTTGTGAAATTGTAACATTTATGCTCGTTTTACCTCGGAGGTACTATAACATAGTAATGTTTCACAAAAAATAAACACCTAAAATATTTAATGCTTAGATGCATGATACGTGTACATGTACATTATAGAATATATTTCAGAAGATTAGAAGTTATTTCACCGCCCTACCAAACTGAACCAAAATTTATCTAATTCAAAATTTTAATACATCAGTACATAAAACGAAACTGACAATATTTCTATAAATGGTTGTTTGCATGACCCCGGGGGTCATGAAAAATTTAATATCTACACTATGCCAGGCTTGAACCAAAAACTTTTCACTTTGAGTGCCTTGAACAGAAGTTTTTTAGACCCCAACTTACGAGCTATCACCGCTACACATATGTACAATTTAAACTACCCTTTACCCAAGAAGCACCACATTCACGCATTTGGATTTTTTGGGA